ATGGCAGCTGCCGCCAAACCGGCGCTCCATGGGCCCGAACACTTTAGAGAGGGTCTACCTTCAATCTTCCCACAAAGAAAGTAGACATTTGGGGTTCCTTTTCCCTCAATCACCCCTTGGCCATGCGAAAAAACTAGTCAGCTTTTCGAGCTGCTCCACGTCCCCCTGTCCTGGGACCCCTTCGGGTCCCAGGCTCAAGTATCGGGCGCTTAGAGTACAAAAGATGGTATGGCCGCACTAGCGAATTAGGGACAACGAGTTCGGACAGTTGAGCGAGACCTTCGTTGAGGTACACTCGGGCAGTTTTCGCGGCTGCCCACCGCCCCTGGATGAGAAGTTTGTCGAAACTACCGTGATGTTGGAAGAAAAACGTGGCTCCCCCCCCTACGTAAGGAGTACGGCCTAAAGCCTAAGGAGCTCAACCCCATCCCTTCAAGGGCTTGGTTGAAAAGTCTTCGCCAAGCATGGGGTTTCTCCGTAAGAAAGGTATGTGGCCTTGCCCTTTGCTTCCAGCGATACAAGGACGGGAGAACAGAGGTGTCAAACAAAGTGACGGACTCGGCGGCTCCTTGCCGAGCACCCGACTTAGTCAAACCAAGAGAGACTACCGCAGGGCCTCGTGGGCTAGTAAGGTAAATATCTTTGGCCTGGATCTTTAAAAGTTCTCCTGTGCGCAGGAGTCCAAAAAAGGCCACCCGGAGAGACAGGCCAAACTCAGGACATCCCTTCATCACGCTCCAGCCACAAAGCGCATCCAAAAGAGACACCGTCAACGGCGGCGCACGGTTGGGTATTTCTGCAGTGGACCACGAGATGAAGAAAACGTCGCCCTGTTTCTTGAAGCTCTCGAATGCGCCAGACAACTGCTGTTTTGACAGCCCTCAACTCCAGCGCATTAATATGTTCCGCCTCGCCTGTCCACCTCCAGCCTGCTATGTCACGCCACCTCCACAATTGCCCAGGGATGGATGCCCTTAAGCGGTGATATCGTGCTGGAATATCAGTGGCTAGCTGGAGTAAAATGTCCTCACCTTTGACTGAAACGTGTCCCGGAAGTTTATGCACTAACCCCTGAACCGGCTGCCCTCCTTTGGTGGTATGCCTCACCGGTGGGCGCAACAAAAGGCCTGGCAAATCATCACACCTACCTGGAGTCAACCTGTCAACGATGCCCTGGATGTCAAGCTCCTCCACCAGTCCCAAGGGCATGAACAGAGAGTGACTGGCACCGACCAGCTATTCCCAGGAGTCGCAACCTACAGTCATTCCGCTGCTGGGTCCCATAGTGAGCCTTTGGCAAGCACTTCGCTGTATAGCCTGAAGGGAAACCGAGGATCACCTCCCTCTCCAACACACTTGGAACACGCAGCAGACCCTGGGAGTTCGTGACACAATTTATTCTCCCTTCGATACTGGTAAGGGGGGAACCTGTGTAGGTCATCCCGCCAACGGGTCACCGTCTCTTCACAACAGAGCGCCAACCCTGCCGGTTTTCGACCTGGAGTCAACGAGGGCCGCGCAGTCGTGAACGTAGGGAACTTGCCAAGGCTTTCGACACGCTTCCACCCGGGCTCCAGGAAGTCGCAAGGGTCCACCTGCCCACGAAGCTCAACCTCACCTTTCAAGGGCAACCGAGAGGATGTCGAAGAACTAACACTCACCCCCGAGCTAGACCTAGGTTCCCAGTTAAACCAGTATAGGCGTGGCCTACGAGCCAATGAAACTCCTGAAGCGTCCACCAGCCAAGGGTCCATCCCATAAGCCTCACTCATGATGGCACAATCACGAGCGTCCATGGAGGCCACGTTCTCAACCAGAACATAAGTGGGACACCACTTGAAAAAGCGACGCAGAAGTTCTTCTACTCGGGGAACGTGAGAGAACAAGCCCTACGGCGGTCTGCATTGAGCCCTGAAACTCCCTGACAGGGCGGACCAGCGCCTAGGATCACTGCTACGACTCCTGGGAAACGCAGGGCCCATTCGCTCACTTCCTCAACCTGAATCCCTGCGACATCCTCGACATGCAGAACCTCCGGAAACCAGCTTTCAACTACTCTCCTGGCCTCAGGACAGATTTCAGCCGCCACATAGCCTGCAACCGGCACACGAAGGGCGTCCACAGCAACTCGCAGGGCACCAATGCCGTCGAACAGGGACACCACCAAGATGGACCCAACCTCATCTTGGGAGATCACATCTCCCCTGCACGTAGCCAAGCTGGCCGCTATAGGGACTCAACTCACGCGACACGCACAAGCCACCTCCAGTGGTAGAGGCGTCGCTTGCTGTCACCTCTTCCGACACAGCTGTTCTGAAGTCCATGTAGGCCAGGGGCGCCAGTGCAATGAACCTCAACAACTCTAAGACCACATCCATGCCCAGAGTCTCTCGGTGACGCGCACCGCCGGGTCCCAACTCCACAATGCGCCTATTCAAACCTGACAACAAGGGTCGCCTGAACATGGCCATGTAAACGAAGCCCCCACCGATCACCTGCAACTCACGCTGGGAAGCCTTGCCTGCAATGATTGTGAGGTCACATGCCAGCCTCACGTAACGCGTGATCTTATCCATCTTTGGGGTGGCGCGCCCAAGGTCACCGTCCACCCATGCTCCCTGAACTTCAGCCTTCACTGCCTGGGTCACCGCTTTCTTCGGATGCCGGGGCAGCCCTAACCTTTCATAAGTTTCACGAACGGC